GCCAAATTTTGCAAACAGAAATATACTAGGAAAATATTCATCATTTATCTGCAATTCAAATTTAATGGTGTCTTAGTCCATTGGAGCTGCTATTAAAAAAAATGCCATATACTGGGTGACTTATAAAAAAGAAAAATCTGTTTCTTACAGTTCTGGAGGTTGGAAAGTCCAAGATCAAGATACTGGACAGATTGGTTGTCTGGTGAGAGCTACCTTTGCATTGTGTCAGCAGGTGCTAGGTAAATGGCAAGACAGCCCTCTGGGCCTCTTTCATGATGATGTGAACCTATTCATGAGCCCTAATTACCTCCCTTACCTCCCGTAGGCATCACCTAATATCATCACATGGTGGTATCATTTGTGGGGAAGGGAGGACTCAAACATTCGGACCCTCGCACTGTATATTCTGCATCTTATCTGGCAGCCACAAGCGTGGCCACTTCATATACCATGAGAGTTGATATGAACATCTCTCAATAAACACATTTCAGCCTGCTGTTTCTACAGTTTGGAAACAGATCTATATTTCTTCCCTGAGAAGCAGGTATAGAAATTTGGCTCACAAGCGAAATTATGTGAAAAATTTACCCCTTTGGGCACAGACACACACAGTAGGGAGAAAAGAGAGGTTTGTGCAGAGACCCACAGGACCTAAGGAAGGAGAGCAGATGAATTCCTCTTATCTCTTGCTCATTCCAGGGCGTAAACTTAGTGAACGGAAGCAAGGAGGAACTGCAGATGGCTTCTGCTTTTGTTTTATCAAGTTAGAATAATATGTATTAACATACAACCCAAAAATTTTCTGAAGTGCCATAAAATATGATAAATTTTACTATGAAACAATTAATCAAAACCCTTCCTATAATCTCTGAGTAGAAAGAGAAACTTTGTATTCAAACCTAAAACACATCTTTGTGGTCCATGGTCGATCTTGAAAACCAAAACCACATCAGTAGTAATCACTACAACAAAGTCACAAAGACCAGTGGGAGACTTACTGACTCTGCACTTCCTGTGGGAGTTATAAAATGCAGAGAACGACCCAGAGTGAGCGTGAAGATCTTCATGTAACATCACTACCATAAATCAGAAATTTGGAATATAAACATGGGACACATACATTCATCACCCCAACAGCTGAAATGGAAATTTAATGTTTATCCCACCAGAATCACAGAATTTTTCCCCTTTACTACCCACATGATAAGTTATTAAACAATCTATTATAAGTTATAAGTAAGATAGAATAAAATAATTTAATCATTTTAACAAACATGCAAAATTTACATAAATTTTATGGTTTACAGCATATGTTTATGGATTTAAATATGTGTGTGTATATTTATAGGTGTGTGTGTTTGTGTGTGTGGAGAGAGAGAGAGAGAGAGAGAGAGAAGAGAGAGAGAGAGAGAGAGAGAGAGATAAAATGGCAAAAAATATTGGTGGGTGGGGGAATCTCATGAAAATAGAGGAGAGAACAGTAGAATAGAAGAAGAAAGACCAGGGTGAGGGGAGAGGAGAAATAAAAGGGAGGTACTGGGGAATAATATAGACCAAATAACATTGTTATATTGTGTGCATATGCAAATATTTTACAACAAAATCAACCATATTTATATAAGTATAATGTAATAATAAAAGACATGGAAAAATAATAACATGCTTATTTGTCATGCTTAAAGTATCTTTAATCATAAATCATTTTGAAAATTAATATATAATTTCAGACTCCTTAGTTTCTTCTTAATTCCTTTGGGCTGCTGTAAAAAATATAGATATATATATATATATATATATATATATCTCCTGGATCAGATGGCTTATGAAAAACAGAAATTTATTTCATGTAGTTCTGGAGGCTGATGTCCATAGTCAAACTGTTAGCGAATTTAATGTCTGGTAGGTGCCTACTTCCTTCATAGACGTTTCCTTCTCACCCAGAACTTTACATAGCCTAAACCTTATATTGGTGTATGCTAAATCTATTCTCTGAATATTCCTCTGCTCACATGATCAATTACTAACAGTGAAGTGTGTGTAGTTCTATTTTGAAGTTGGGATTCCTTACATCTTTTCCACTGTGAAGTTCATGTGGTATCAACATCAGTTTTTTGTTGTTGTTGTTGTTGTTTTTAAAGCAAAAGCAGTAGTGATTTGAAATTATTCCACATTTCTTTCATTTCCTTGCACAGTTCCCCTGGTTCATAGGCTTCAAATATTCTCTCTTGTTTAACAATGTGTATTTCTTCGTGTAAATTAGCATAATCTGAGATAAAATGAAAAACACCTCAATACTCAGAGATTTGAGATTCTTTTGTTAACAGGGAAACTGAAATAGAATATAATCCCTTGTTTGTGAATAAAACACTTGAATGTAGATAGAGGAAGTTGAGTTGCTTGGTAGGAGTCTAAGATTTTTTTTGTATTTGTAATCAATACTGGGGAGCAAGGAAGTAAACCCTAATTTCTGAGGTGGCAAATGAACTTTCACGAAGCAACAGTCTTTGTTCATTTACTACATCTGGCAAATGATTAGTTTGCTGTTTCATGACTGGAATTATGAGTTTCCTCTCTTTGACTTAATGTGGCATAAACACTGCAATGTTTGTGAAACTACTCAAGTATAAAATCCTCTTCTTGCTCATGCTTATGAGAGTGTTCTGTTTCTTGGGCTTGCATAGGATTTAAGGGTGAAACCATGAAACTGGTCTGTTCATGAAAGAGAAATTTTACTGAACTACTGCTCCATGTATAGGGCCAAACTCTTATAAGAGAGAGAGAGAAAATATTTCTTCCAAAAATCTTCCAGTAAAACTTACATTGTAGGAGGACCTTCATGCATATTCTTCTGTTTCCTGCATTACACAGTCTACCACAAAGAGCCACATGTTAGATGATCCATTCAGTGCAGAGAAAGAAAGTTACTAAACTCATTATGGACAGAATTTTTCTGGGCGACATAATTTATACCTCCACTTAGGAGGTAACTAAAATTTCTAATAAAATAACAGAACAATTATCCAACTGCCTTTCATGAGACTAATTCCCTAAAGGAAGGGAAAAATCTCACTTTCTCTGTTTCCACTGCCTCACAACCTTAGGGCAAACAGGCAGAGATAGGACAATGTACTGCATGCAATGTCAAGGACTCTCCCTTAATAATCTTTAATTGGACATTTATTTCTTTCCATGGCTTTCTCTATGTCTCTATAAGGAGAGAAGTTTTTTAATTGGTTTTCTCTTGGGTCTCTCCCTTTGAGTCTAACTAGATATAAGAATTCTTCACCTGTTTGTAATCAGTTTTTCTGAGACAGGGAGACATTGCACAGAACTGGATAATTATAAGGTTTTCAAGGAAAGGCCATCCATAGCACAACACTGAGGATTTGGAAATGCAAAATGGGGAAAGGGTAGCTCATGAAACTTGTTTTATAATTTTTTTGCATCAAGTTTTCTCAACTCTCTCCATATTGAAATTGAAATGGAACACTCTAAAAGAGGACTTAAAAGTCCTGTATATATTTGATAGAGATAACACCAATTTTAAATCATTTAAATTATTCTGACAAGCTAAATAAATATTTAGTTATTTAAAGCATATAATTTACCTGTTTAAATGCACATATTAATACACTAATTTGCTGATAGATTATAATTACTAACTAGCTCAATCAATATTTGGCAATATACATTAATTACAAAGACAAGTTCCTCAATAAATTCCTGCGTTAAATGTTTACTTCTATTGAAGTTCCAAATCTCAATTTTAAAATAACATATTGAAGTACTATTTGATTTTTTTACATTAGCATTTATTAGAAAATGTTATTCAGAGATTAAACTTTAGAAACAGAATAAATGTTTTTGTATACAAACAAAAATCCACATACCCAAGAATTAATGGGACTTCCTTTCTTCAACACACATCATATAAAAAGACCTCTAAACTCACCCAATACATTTGGTATATTTTCTTTGCCCTCTCATCCCTCCCCCCAAAAAAATGAACTCAGGTGTTACTTGAAGGCATAGAGAAAAGCTGATATACTGCTATGGTCCGAATATATTACCCAAATTCACGTGTTGAAACCTTGATTCCTAGAGTAGCAGTTTGGGGAGGTAGGTACTTTTGGAAGGAGTTTGGGTCGTGAGAGATTAATGCCACTGTACAGGGGGCTTAGAAAAGTGGGGTCTCTCCTGCTCTTCTTCCCCGTGAGGGCAGAAGCTTCCTCCTCTCTGGAAGATCCATCATCTTGGAATCAGAGACAGAACCTACCACAACCTTGAACTTCTTGAACTTCTCAGCCTCCGGGACTGGGAGAAATAAACTCCTGGTTATGGCAACACAAAACCAAATAAGTCATACAATAAGTGCCAAAGAACATAAAAATAGTTTAGTATTCCTAGGCGTCTCCCACCCCACACCGCTTCAATGAAAAACTTAAAGCTTTGAAACGAATCAATATAAAAGTAGATTGTAGTATCAACAGACAATATAGATGCTAAAGTATATTGGGCCATCTCTCCTTTTCCTTTTCTTACAAAAGGAAACAGAACAGTTCCAAATGTTGGAAAGCTGCTGTTGCTGCCTCTGCGGCTGCCATTGTTCAAGTGACAGGAGACGAGGGTTTTAGTGACCAACCACAGGAGCCAATTTAAACTGTGAATCACAGAGCTGTTTTCCTAAAGCAGACTCTTTTTACAGGGAAAGTTGGCATATTTGGGTTTAAATGGGTTTAAATGTTATACTAGAAGCATGTTCTTGGCACCAAATGCACATCTGAACATTTAAATATGCTAACAGATGTTTCTAACAAGAGCATTATAAAACCAGATCTCACTTGAGTTAGGAATGCATTACCATCACTTAAAAAATAATCTCTATACCTTATAAGAGTTTCATAGGCAGACAAAAAATGGGAAGGTATTAGAGACTGATTCCTCATATTTAATATATCAATTAGTTCAGTACATTTGTCACCAACAATGACACACGATTATTAACTAAAGTCTCCACCTTGCTTTGATTTTTTTTTTCCCTAATGCTCTTTATTGGTTCTAAAATTTCATCAGACATGCCACATAAGGTTGGTCATTGTCTCCTGAGGTTCTTAGCTGTGATGATTGCTTCCTGTCTTTGATGACCTTGACAGTCTGGAGGAATGCTGGCCTGGTGTTTTGTAGAATGTTTCTCCATTGAAACTTGTCTGATGTGTGTCTCATGGTTAGAGACCAATGGAGTGTTTTGAACAGGAAGCCCACAGAGGGGAAGAGCCATTCTCAACATATCATACTGGGGACATATTCTGGTGCTTTGGCTTATCCCTGAGGGTGCTGAGCTTCACCATCTGGCTGAGGCTGGGCTGTCAGTTTTCTCCATTGTAAAGGCTCCCATTTTTGCCCCATCCACACCACATTCTTTGGTGAAAGTGACTCTGCAGTCCAAGCCTGTGGGAAGGGGGGGAGAGTCATGTCAGAACCCAGAGGTTGTAACACCTATGTGAATTATTTGGAGTCCTCTGCCCAGGAGTTTTGTCTCTTATCTCTCATTTATTTATTCATGCATGTATTCATGTCACTGTGGACTCGTGGATATTTATTTTATACTTTGAACTATAATCTAATACCAACTTACTTATTTGTTGTTATAAATTATCCAACTGCTCTTCAAACTACCTAAAAAAGTGTGTGCATAGGAATCATGTCCTAAGCATCTGTCACTGCAAAACAGTCTAGACCTGTCTTGTTTATATCTTGCTCCAATTCTAAATCAATCATGTTTCTAAGGTGCTCTAGTTTCTTTTGATGAAAAATATTAGAATCTACCTTCAGGACACAAGATATGCTGGTTTCTGCTGGATGGTCTTTGTAGCCCTTGACAGAACAAGAAAATATAGTAAATATACCAACCCATATTTATACACATATCTATAAATATTCTATGTGTACCATCTATACCTAGCTCGATATAGATTGAGCTAAATATGAGTAACTACTGATGTCTCCAAATCTAATCCATTCCTATGGGGCACATTCTCACCCTCTCATCTCTAGGGTCCCACAGCAACGAGAAACTTAGCTGTCAGCATCCACCATCCTTTCATGTCATCATTCAGAGACAATGTGCATATATAGTGGTTTCCACATTTTATGTGTGAAAGGTATTTCTCAAAATGTTATAATTAGGAGCACAGCCTGACATCATAGCGCTCTCTCTCTCTCTCTCTCTCTCTCTCTCTCTCTCTCTCTCTCTCTCTCTCTCTCTCTCTTTCTCTCTCTCTCTCTCTCTTTCTCTCTCTCTCTCTCTCAAGAGTCAGAGTCTAAGTAGGATAAGGCCAAGGATGTTGGACAACTGGGACAGAAGGGAGAACAAAAGCAATACATGTCACTCATTTCCTAATTTTTCTTGAACAAGCTGCATAGTGTAATTGCTTCCAATTTGTAGAGAGCCAAGTTTGTTCATTTGTTCCATGAGGTATCATTGGCGTGCCAGCTACGAGCTCGGAAACGTAATGGGCATACAGAATATCACCACGTCTAATACATAACCCCTCATGTCTTATGTGGACTTGTGGTTTCTCCATCTAATATGAGATGAGAACGCCCACCAGGTAGAATGGTTGGCAGGGCTAGATGAGCTTTGCAGTATGAAGAGTTCCTGGAACCTCAGGTCTCTTCAGTGTCTGATACTAGAATCCCCATGATTTTATGGTGGAATAAGATCCATTCATGCTTCTTTCAAAAGAGGGAAGAATCTTCACCTCCTCGGCTCTCCTTTTGCTCCCTCTATCAGATGTGATCATGGAATTGCCAAAAGAATAATAAGATTCAGAGGAAACCTCTCTCTGAGCAATCACTTAGGCCGCTTGTTGAAAATAGGGTCCTCCTCCGGGGTTTAGATCTACTGGTTCAGAATTTCCAGTGTGAAGAATGGAGGTGGAGGGCCTGATGGTCTCTATGAACAAACAGAAGAAGGGATTCTTTCGTGTGTGTGTGTGTGTGTGTGTGTGTGTGTGTGTGTGTGTGAGTGAGAGAGAGAGAGAGAGAGAGAGAGAGAGAGAAGGACAGTGATAACATTATGACACTGATGGAGGTGTAGCTACTATCCGCTGTGAAATGCCTGGCTCTGAACTGAGCATTCTAACAAGCACTGGCCGGATCCACACATCTCTATGAAGAAGACGCTGTTAGTTTCCCCCTTTCTTACAAGTGAGTTAATAAGCGATAGTTAGTTGAATTCATCCAAAGTCATCTGGTAAGCGGTGAAGAACTTTTTTGCCTGACTTCGGCAGCCACTCAACTACAGCTTAAGCATAACAATCAGGATGAGGTTGGAGATTTGCGTGCCAGGCCAAGCTTTCATCTTGTTCAGATGCTACACTGCACTGCGGAATTCAATATCTGACTAAAGAGTAATTTTAGATCCATAATTTCACATGCCTACTTGCCCTGAGTGTAAAATGAGGGAGAGGACTGCGTGTTCCCCTATTTCTAGCATTCTCTGTGGCCTTCTCTTGCCCACTTCATCTTACTTTTGGTTCTAGCCTTTGTTCATATATTAGCTTTCTAATATAAGGACAAAATTCTGTAATCCTCACTGTGATATATATTGCTTCAGTAATAACTCAGTAAGAATTCGGTTTCTAAGTAAACAAAATTCTGAAATTATACAATGTTACACCAAATAAGATCTAATGATCATTGATTATTTTAGAAATTGTTTTATTTGAATATTTTGTCAAGGAAAAACAAAAATCAAGATGGAATTGCATTGGTTTGGGGCACTGAAAATGGAGTTGATAGAGCATTGTTGATCAGATCTCAGGCAGATCTACAGGTGAATCTCTGAAGGGGCTGTGGACACACCTCTGGATGGAGCTGACCTCTGAAATGCTATTAACCTCTGCTGAAATTTCCCTAAGCTACCCAGAGACTGAGACCACATCCCATCTCTTTGCACAAGACAGCTTAACTCCTGCCAGAACCAATCATATTTTCTATAAGTCCCATAATTACAAACACCCCTAAGACTTAAAACTATAAATAAAGATGCCATTTTCTAAGACCTTTGAGCATCTGATTTCAAGATTGCATGAATCTCTTTTTCCTACTTGCAATCCTTACTAGCCATAGAGAAAAGTAATGCTCTTTGTTCTCAACTACATTGATTTTAAGCCTAAGTGGCTGTTCTTCAACTAGTGATTGGGATCCAGAACAGCTTTTCCAGGCATCCAGGGTTGCTTTTGGACTGTGCTTTGGTACCAACAGCACCCACTATCTCCCTGGATATCCTTGGGCCTAGTGCAATGCAAGGCTGAGTCCTTCTGGATTCAGCCTCTAGTTCTCACTTCAGTCAAGGCCTGAAACCTCTATTGGGTTGCTGTTGTGGTCAACATCCCTGCTCTTGGCAAGGGAGCTCCATCTCTCCTTGTAGGCAAACATTTGGATTTTAATTCAAATTCTATCTCTGCCACCAGATAGAAGATTGAGGTCTCAGTTTAAGCTATGGTCTCCATCCTTAGGCAAAGATGTGGGTTCCAGTTTCTGGCTGAAACGTAACTGAGTTCTTAGTGAGATCTTGCAGCCATTTCAGATTTTATAATCAGTATCATTTCAGTGAACCAAGAAAATTCTAGACAGAAAATTCAGAGAGTGTCCTTACTCTGAATAAAAAAAAAAAAATCATTGCTCTTTTCAACACTTTGGGGTGTTTTAGGTAATTGAAACTATTACAGGGCATGCCATTTTGCTGAGCCGAGGCAGCCATATAGTTTTCTCACCCCAGCTCCTGCCATCACACCAGGATTTCAGACATGTCACTCAAAGTAGCAGGCATGAATTTATTGCAAGGATAGGAAAAAGGATAAGGGGACATACTTGAGAGGGAGGGGTCCTCTCAGAGAGCAGAATGATGGCACCCCTTCCCCCCCCCCCCGAGTCCTTCAGTTTTAGTGAAGGTCCCAGGGAAGTTTCCAGACAGTCCTTCCCAAATCCACCTTTTGACTTTTGACTGACAGCAAAGGACCTGTGGAGACCACCTGGAAGAGAGGATGGGGTGGTGCTCACCGAGTTGGAGTTTTTAAAGAAATGAAATCTCCCTGTTTTTGCCTCAATTTCCTGTCCCCTTGAAAGGTTGATTACCCTTTGAACAGCCTCAGGAAGCTTTCTTAGTAAGCGCTTTGATGATTTGGTTGCCAGGGTGATTGGGGGTTGTGACATAGCTTGAGTGATAAGGTAGAGTCCATGCCACCTGGTAGGGTGGGACTTGACCTTGAAACCATAGCTTTTGATAAGAGGATGGCTGGGGAGGTTTTGACCACCAGGCCTCCTCTTCCTGGTGCTTGCCTGTCACCTGAGACGACTTGTGCTTTTCAGTTGCCCTTGATTGTCCTTTCCCTGCTCACCCAGCCATGGATGACTAGCTTCCTAACAAAACCTTGGAGTGTCCAGATTCACAGCCAATGACATACAGCAGTCTCTAGGGATTTACAAATAAACATACCAACCACGGGTCAGAGGGAACAATTTTGGCTTATCTGGGGAATTGCACATAAAAGACTGTCAATCTCCACACCTTAGCCATTGAAAATAATTTCTAGGTCTGTCAGATATTGAGGAGCAGAGATTTATTCAAGAAGCAAGGGATACACCTTCACTGATTCAAGAGTGAGAGATACTTTGGAGTTCTCAAACACTTGTTTTAAAGAAACTTGGTGGGTGGCATATGTAAAGGTATTTGGGATGACATCAGTCTGGGGATCACAAGGTGGATTATGGGAGTCTGGGTGTTCTCAGGATCCTTAGCCACACGTCTTCTCCATTACTTGATTAATAAATAATGTGGGGAAAATACCCTTTATTATAGATTGCATATCTTTCTTTGTTCAATCTGTTCTAAAAATGCATGCATTAGTGGGCTGATTTACACTGAAATTTTTGTCATTGAATTTCTAGTAACTTTAATATTGTGAATGAAGATTTATACATTTCCAAGAAATTTGGGAATAACAGGCCTGGGAGAGAGAACAGGCTTGGGGAGGGAAGTTATGAGGAATTTTGGCACAAAGTTTTTAGATTAAAGTTATAGTTTCCTTTTCCTTTTTTTTCCCTTTGTGTGTGTGTGTTTGTGTGTGTGTGTGTTTGTGTGTGTGTGTGTGTGTGTGTCCTTTCTACCCACTTTTATCTCTGTTAATTCAGGTAGACCACTCTAAAAATAATGTTGATTGACAAATCCCTTCAAAACTCTAGTTGAATTTATGTATAACCATATGATATACTTCTCATGTAAATTCATTGGTAAATGAGCCCAAATAACTTGGGAAGATTTGAAAATTGCATTGGCCAAAGTGAGAAACTTTTGAAATCCCCCAAATTTAGTTTATCTGTGTGTATAATTATAAAAAGCTTGTCTTGGAGTAAAAGTGAATGAGAGATTTTTCAATGGTATTTAAAATTTTACCAATTCAGCTCAGAAAATGTTTGCCTCCCAGCAAACAAAGCAAAGATAAAGAGAGACTGTCTCTGAACTAAAAACCTCCAAAAGCCGTTTCCTGCTCTCTGTCTCCTCCTGCCATCAAGACCACGGCAGCTTCCTGGTGGTTTAGGGGTTAGGATTTGGTCACCGCCATTCTTGGGTGTGATTCCCCATCACAGAACCAGGACAATTCTTTGTATCCCTGATAGGCAGCTGCAGCTTACCACTTATAGATATCCTCCCGCATTAAAACAAACAAACAAAAAACTTCACAACTCCATAAAACTTTCCCCAGGGATGCTGGGAGCATTTCCAGATCTTTCCTTTTGTCCTTACTAACACCTAAGAATAGATTAAAATGTCTAACACTGGAAGACAAATCTTGGACCCAGATAGATGCTCTTTGTCTTCTCAATTTCACCTCTTACCCCTCTCTTCAAAGGACTAAGCTGCTCAGATGATGGGGTGTCTAGTGGTACTACGACATGGTAAGTCCTAACTCACAGTGTTCCAAGTGGGGCCTTTTCTAGGTTCTCAGTCCTTTCTGCTGATTCTGTCTGCAAGGATTCATCTTCTTGTAGGGATTTCTTAGAAATTCAAAGCCAATATCTCCTCCTCTCAGAAGCCCAGAGCAAATAGAGCAATCGCCATAACTAAAACAACTAGAGCACCCAGACTCAGACTATGATGACCTGCAGACTCTAAAACTCCTGCCCCACATGGTTCTCATTCTAAAATTACTGAAACAATTAAACCAGAAGAGAAAGCTTTAGAGAGTTCTTTCCCAGGCACTCTTTCAGAGAAAAATCTCATTGTCCTATTCAGTGAAGGTGTGTGCCCTCAAGCCAGTGACCTGATTAGAAAGTGATCAAGATCGGAAGCATTTACCAACTAGACAGGCCTCCAAAGTGTGACTTTCTGTTAGTTCGCTTCTTATTTACAGAAGAAATTTAGATCTATAAATTTAGATATTTTCATATGTAAAGGCATCTCCTTCTGCAGGCTCTCAGAACAGGGAAAGATATTAAGTTAAGTCTGCATAGCAAGCCTCGTTTCAAGCCTTTTGTTATCACTGGGTCTTTTAGTACATCTTTCTTGTCTCAGCAAATACTGGTGTTTAGATCTAGGTTCTGTGTTCTGGAGATGTACATTTTCTACCTTGTTTCACTTAAGATTGTTATGCTCGAATTCAGGATCCCTGAAAAGACCACCAGAGACCCAGATCGATGTAAGCAGCAAAGTGGTGTTTATTGCAAGCTAGCTCTGTCCTCCACGCGCACACAGCAACAGGTGATGCTGAGCAGCCTGGAGCCCAGGGTTTGCAGCAGTTTTATACACTCTTTGGGGAAGGCAGGGACCTCATGTACATCCTAGCATCTCTTAGCAAATCATCACACACGGCGGGAAAATCATAAAACAACTCTAAAACATGATTAGCACATTCACTGGCGGGAACAAGTTGGGTAGGGGTGATTGGTTAGTACAAGAGAGGGATTCCTTTGAACTGATTGGTTTAAGCCACAAGAGGGGTACTTGCTAAACTATATGGTTTCCCAACACGTTATCAACCACCATAAACTACTGGGAGGGTCATCTGGCATCCCAAGTATTTTCCCTGTCTCATCCTGATTGGTGGCTGTTAGGGGGTTGCTATGGGTCCTCACCTAGCCTGAGTCAGGGATACCTGGTGCAGCAGATCTCTCCTGTTATTTGTAGATAAACAACTCAGCAGAGTGGGTATGTGCCTAGGAGTGCTCTGTGGGTCTTTCCAAAGACAAGGGTCATGTCCCCTTCCTTGGACAGGCTTTGCTCTGAAGTAGAGGCTGGTTTCTCAAAAATGGAGTTTCTCAAAGAGTCATATCACTGGAAGTACAAATTTAGGGTCAATTTTTTTTTTTAGATTGATGGAGAAATAATCAGAAGATTGATAGTGTCAAGGGGGAGAAAAGCTTTTAGAAGGTAGTAAATAAAGAATCTAAATCAAAGATATAAGTCTTTGTTTTCTGGGTGTGTTTCATGTACATTTGTGGACACTTTTATTGTATGTTATGTCTACACATGTGCTTTTGTCCACATATGTATTCACGTAGTATCTACATAGTACCAAAGTGAGTTGCAAATAAAGGAGTGCTCAAAAATTAAATAACATGAACCCAAATGTTTTTCAAAGTCTACATTACCTGGGAAAATCTTAAGTAAATAAGACTATCACCAGAGGGGTTTTGAAGAGGTGGTAGAGAAGGGAAGACCAACTCAAGACAACGGAATCCTTGACAAACATCACAGAAAGAAATTTCAAGACTTTTTAGTGGGAGGCACCAACAGATTTATTAGGAAAGCAAGGAGCTTCTATCCAAGAGACCACACAGGCTACCTAGAGAGCTGAGGTGTGCTTTGGGGTCTGGGGCTTTGCTCTTTACAGGAAACTTTGTGAGGGTGGGTTTGGGAAGATGTGTGAGGATGACTTTAGCCATGAGGTCCCAAGAAGGTGTCTGGGGCTCCGGCTGTTCTCAGGTTGTGCCCCGTCCATTATCTGACCAATAGATAAGATTGGGGAAGCCCCTGCATTATAGGTTTCACGTCTCCCTTTGCTAAATCTATTCTAAAAATACACATGCACCAGGCAATTCTTATAAGTTAGTGAATTTTCTGTAATTTCAACATTGTGAGTGAAGATATGTAGATTTCCTAGAAATTTGGGAGCAGGCAGGCCTGGGAGAAAAAAAAAAATGGCCTGAGGAGGGAAGATGTGAGGAGTCTTACTAGCACACGCTTTCAGACCGAAGTTAAAGTCTCCTTTTTCTTCCTTTTTGTCTCTTTTCTTCATATTTTTTATTTTCTTCTACCTTGAGATGAGTGTGATATTGTTGGCCTAGTAAAATACAGCTGTGTCTTGTGATGAACTAGACATCCCTGTGTCTAACGGCACAGAGTTCTTGGATGAAAGCTGTCTCATGTTGCATACTGGGAAGATGGTTGGCCAGAAAGCAACCTGAGATGATGGCTAGCTACCATTCTTTATCAAATTTCCACAAGCAGTTCAGGTCATTATTAAGGAGTAAATTCGGTAAATGCAAATGGGATGCACATTTGTAAAGAAATTCTTCATAGTTTCAAAAATATCTTTCAGTAACTTAAAATCTTAAGGTTATGTTACACCAAATTAAGCAATATGTATTAGATGTCTAGACCTTCTCTAAGTAAGTTAAAATGCTATGACATTAAACATAAGGTTTATATACTTTGGTGTTCTGCTTTTATATGAATAAAAAAAAGGACTAAACACATTTGGATCTGTTTCGATGCTTAAAATTTTTGCTATCAGAAACCACATATTTATAAAAACCATTAGTCTACATAATTGCTAAGGATTGTTAACTAAATGATTGGTAAATTAAAAACAAGAAGGGAAACAACTTTGTATGTAACGGAAAGGAGACATGTTTATTTATAAAGTCAATTATGGAACAGGAGAATGTGTTGAATCAAAAAAAAAAGAAAGTTTTGTCTTAAAAATGACGGTGATTATTCCAAAATAGGAACAATTTGTATTTTACAATATTAAGAGTTTGAACACACTGGAAAAGGCATGAGAAAGGTATATCAAGGCTTTGGAAAGGAATGCATCTTGATTTTATGTGTGATCAAGTTGGTGGGAAATTATGTTTTTCTAGAGGCTGAGCATAAACATC